GGACACTTGGGGATGAGGAATAGAGGTGGCTCATCTATCTCATCACCCTCACAACAGTTACTTATTTTCTATAAATTTTTTAAAATATTATATGGGGGAGGGGAGAAAGAGATCTTCCATTCGCTGATTCGCTCCCCCAAATGATTGCAACAACCAGGGGTGGGCAAGGCTGAAGTCAGGAGCCAGCAAGTCCATCAGGGTCTTCTATATGGGTGGCAAGGGCCCAAGTACTTGGGCCATCTTCCACTGTATTCCTAGCTGCATTAGCAAGGATCTGTGTTGAAAACAGAGCAGCCAGATTGAACCGGCACTCCAATTCGGGATGCCAGTGTCACAACTAACAGCTTCACCCACTGTGGCACAAAACTGGCTTCACACAACAGCTATTTTAAAATGTTCCCTGATAGTCCCTCTTGAGGTTAAACGTCCTCAGAATGGGCACAATGATGTGACCTTTCCTACACAATGATGGCACCACTATTAAGATAAACTTAAGCCAAACGTAAGATCAAGACTCCGTCTGACATAGAGAAGGAATCCCATAGAGGGTGAAAGCCATTTTTTTAAAAGATTTATTTTATTTATTTGAAAGATAGAGTTACAGAGAGAGGTAGAGACAGAGAGAGAGAGAGAGAGGTCTTCCATCCACTGGTTCACTCCCCAAATGGTTGCAATGGCTGGAACTGTGCCAATCAGAAGCCAGGAGCCAAGAGTTTCTTCTGAATCTCCCACGCAGGTGCAGGGGCCTAAGAACTTGGGCCATCCTCTGCTGCTTTCCCAGGTGCATTAGCAGGCAGCTGGATCGAAGTAGAGCAGCCAGGACTCGAACCAGCACCCATATGGGATGTCAGCACTACAAGCTGGGACTTTGTCACAGAGCCTGCCCCAAAGCCACCTATTTTTTATTTATTTATTTATTTATTTATTTATTTATTTATTTTTGGACAGGCAGAGTGGACAGTGAGAGAGAGAAACAGATAGAAAGGTCTTCCTTTGCCGTTCGTTGGTTTACCCTCCAATGGCCGCTGTGGCTGGCGCACCGGCAAAGCCACCTATTTTTAAAACCTAGCTTCACAAACAATTTAATTACTCAACATGATGTAATAGAGAAGAACAGACCTAGAAAACTAAGGTCCATCTCCTAACCCCAACACTCTCTCAACACATTTAACTGGGCTGCATCATTTTCCTTATCAGCACCACCGCTCCTTCTGAGGCTGTACCAAAGACTAAGCCTCATCACAAAGAATGAGTAGCTGGGGCCAGCACTGTGGTGCAGTAGGTTAAGCTTGCTGCCAGCGACGCCAGCATCCCATATGAGCACGGGTTCCAGTCCCAGGTCTCAGCTGTTCCACTTCCATTCCAGCTCCCTGCTAATGAGCCTGGGAAGGCAGTGGAAGATGACCCAAGTGCTTGGGCCACTGCCACCCACACGGGAGACCCAGATGGATTTCCTGGCTCCTGGCTTTGGCCTGGTCCAGCCACAGTCATTGCAGCCATTTGGGGAGGGAACCAGCAAATGGAAAATCTTTCTTTCCCTCTCTCTCTCTCTTCCTCTATAACTCTGCCTTTCAAATAATAAATAAATAAATCTCTTTTCTTAAGATTTATTTTATTTATTTGAAAGGCAGAGTTACAGAGAGAGAGGCAGAGATAGAGAGATCTTCCATCTGCTGGCTCACTCCCCAAATGGCCATAACAGCCAGGGATGGGCCTTGCCTAAGTCAAGAGCCAGGAGCTTCATCTGTGTCTCCCATGTGGGTAGCAGGGGCCCAAGCACGTGGGCTGCTGCTTTCCCAGAAGCATTATCAGGGAGCTGGATCAGAAGTGGAGCAGCCAGGACTTGAACCAGTACCCATACGGGATACCAGCACTGCAGGTGGTGGTTTTATCATTATGCTACAATACAGGCTCCATACATAAATCTTTTAAATAAATACATTATAAGTCACAAAAGCAGTAGCTATTGCCACTAATATTAAGCAGGATGATCCTTTAATCCATAAACAACAGCTGTCACAGAAGGAATGAACATTTTATACACTCCCATAGAATATAACGTCTGCATGTAAGTCATATTAGTAAATTCCATCATGTAAGCACACATTATAACATTCAGAGCAGGATCGCCTCTCTGAGGAAATGAATAGCACAATTACAAGACAAGCAACAAAGTAAAGAGCCCAAGAATAGGGGCCGGCATTGTGGCACAGGGGTTACGTCACCACCTGGGATGCTGGCATCTCATATGGGCAATGGTTCTAATCCTGCTGCCCCACTTCCAATCCAGTTTCCTGCTAATGTACCTGGGAAACCAATAGAAGACTGGCCGAGTACTTAGCTCCTGCCACCCATGTAGGAAACCCAGATGAAGCTCCAGGCTCCTGGTTTCGGCTTGGATCACCCCTGACCACTGCGGCCATTTTGGGAGCAAATTAGTAGACAGAAGATATTTCTCCCTCTCTATCACTCTTCCTTCAAACAAATACATCTTCATAAATAAATAAAAGCAAAGCCAAAAATACATGTACACATAACTAAACACCATACACATGCACACATCGCATACAGAGACACAAACCAAACTGGCCAGAGAAGACAAATCCCTTTTTAAGTCTCTCTATCCCAAGACCTGGAGCAATGATTGCACTGGAAGTTTCAGTATCCACCAGAATCATGGGGAAACCTCATGGAAATGTAAGTCCTGGAGCAAGTTTTCCACCAAAGCACACACAATCATACCACACACACTCACGCGGACACACCCCAATTCAGCAGACCTCAGATGGGATATGCTATCTGCATCATTAATTAATAATCCCCAGGGCTGGCGTTGTGGCATAGCAGATGGAGCCACTACCTGCGACACTGGCATCCCATGTGGACACCAGTTCATGTCCCAGCTGCTCCTCTTCTGATCCAGCTCCCCATTAATGTGCCTGGGAAGGCAGCAGAAGCTGGGCCAAGTGCTTGGGCCCCTGAATTCATGTGGGAGACCCAGAGAAAGCTCCAGGATCCTAGCTTTAGCCTGGCCCAGCCCCAGTCATTGCAGCCATTTGGGAAGTGAACCAGCAGATTGAAGATCTCTCTCTCTCTCTCTCTCTCTCTCTCTCTCTCTCTCTTTTCCTCTGTAACTCTGCCTTTGGGTAAATGAATAAATCTCAAAAAAAAAAAAATCAGTAAGGCTTTCAAGTGATTCTGATGCAGGTGGAACTTGAATCCCAAAATGAGAAACCCCATGCTGAACAAGGCCAGGCCCCGTAGAACTGAACCAATAAATCAGTCTAAAGTCTAAATGCATAAACATACACAGAGTCTGAGTAAAACACTGAAAAGTAAAGAAATGGAGAAGCCGTCCTGCCTCAGCGCTCACATGCCTCATGGTGGTGATAACAGCACGAGGCAGTAACAGAGCTCTACAGAGCACCTTCTAGATGCTTCTAGGCACAGTAAACAGGAGAGCAAAGCATCCCTGCCCCCACAGAGCCAATGCCGCAGTGAGGGAACACAGGCAGAAAGGGACAGTTTGTTAGGTAACAACTCTAATGCAGAAAAACTAAGCAAACACAGAGGGCGGGGAGTGTCATTTTCAATCTGTGCCTGTTTGAAATAACCCCTCTAAAGGAATTATTCAGGGTTGATCAAGTCTCAGAGAACAAGAGGATGAAAAAACAGCAAGGGAATGAATGACTGACTCTATTGGCTGGGCAGGGGCAAGAGAGGGACTTGGACAGTTTCCGGGGGCGGGGGGCGGGTGTGAATGCTGTGCAAGCGAGCTCCCCTCCCTCCTTCCCTTGCAAGAATGCTCCTCTGGCCACGCCAGGGACCGCGGAGCATGAGTCAGCTCTGACGGGCTTGACAAAGCATTTCCAGCAAGCACTGGATGCCTCTTTGTCTCCCACCTTTGCCAAAAACGCACGCCTCTTCTTCCACCCAGTGTAAAAAACCTATGTCTTTCTTGGGTCACGAATGTCAATGGCAGTTTTTTGGACTTTTTTTAAAACCATAAAAGGAACACATAAGCAGAGTAGCAAAATACAAGAAATGCCAGGGGCCGGCACCGTGGCTCAATAGGCTAATCCTCCACCTAGCAGCGCCAGCACACCGGGTTCTAGTCCTGGTCGGGGCGCCAGATTCTGTCCCGGTTGTCCCTCTTCCAGGCCAGCTCTCTGCTGTGGCCCGGGAGTGCAGTGGAGGATGGCCCAAGTGCTTGGGTCCTGCACCCGCATGGGAGACCAGGAGAAGCACCTGGCTCCTGGCTTCGGATCAGCGCGGTGCACCGGCCGCGGCAGCCATTGGAGGGTGAACCAACGGCAAAAGGAAGACCTTTCTCTCTGTCTCTCTCTCTTACTGTCCACTCTGCCTGTCGAAATAGACATAGAAAAAAAAAAAAAAGAAAAAGAAAAAGAAAGAAATGCCAGAAAGTGCAAATATTCCCAGCATTCCACCCCCAGCACTACCTCTGCTCACATTTAACACAGCTGGGGCCAAGCTGCACCCACATAATTTCACATCCTGCTGTTTATGTTTTATCATATGCATTTTCACTACCTGGCTAATTTTAAAATTTCTACAGATGCACTTTTTTGCTTAGAACAAATTCTATTCGGACATCATTTTTCATGGTCACATAACATTCCATCCCATTGATGCGGGATCATCAATCAACCATTTCCCACTATTTGGCTGTTCAGGTTTCTAGAGTTTTCACAATTAAAAACTACCCTGAAATTGGGCATTCTCTTAATCCTGAAAAAAAAAAAAATAAATAAATTGTTTTAGTTACCCTGAAAATAACATTACACAGAAAGGTCTTTCAGCGTAGATTCCTAGAAGCAGCATCACGGGAAGATGGACAGGGGTGCGGTCTCTGCATACGTGGTCCACAGCTGACCGGAAACGGACCCCCACACCTGCCGGCTGCACAGGCAGAGTGCAGAGCCGGACCTCTCGCCACTGCTCCGTCTGGACGGCGGCCGGTTTAGAAGCGATGCGCTTACCTGCTGTCGGAATCCGAGGCGATCTCCTTTCTCCCCCCAAAGCGGATCTGGCACTGCACAGAAAAAGAAACTTCTGAGACCAGCCGTTGGGAAGAGACATTCAAAATATCACACAGCGACGCCCCCAGGCCCTCGGGGTCAGGAGGAGGACACGGGAGCCCTGTGCCTTGGTGTCAGCACAGGACTTAGGAATGAGGAGAAGGGAGCATTTGGCAAAACAGTTGACAGTGGGACACCTATGGCTAATATCACAGATCTGGCTTCTGATTGCAGCTTAGAGCTAAGGCAGACCCGAGGAGGCAGCAGGTGATGGCTCAAGTGATTCGATCCCTGCCACCCACATGGGAGACCTGGACTGGGTTCCTGGTTCCCAGATCCTGGTTCGACCTGGGCCAGCCCTGGCCCTTGCAGGCATCTGAAGAATCAATCAGGAGATGGGAACTCACTCTTCTTTCTCTGTCTCTTTGCCTCTCAAATAAATAAATAAAGCGTTAAAAAGGGCAGACACCCAGACGTCAAAGTACCACTTAAAGGAAGCCCTTATCTCCCACTTGTACAGAAGAGAGCCTTGTGGGAAAACAATTACAACAGGAAAACAAACGTACATAGCCATCTGCGAATTCTCTAGGAGGTTGCTCCTATCTGTCAGCGGCTGAGCGTCTACAATGCAGGGCTCTTAACAGGTGAAAATTAAAACTTCCACAAATCTAGGATGACAGCTCCCTTCCGACAGAGCCCCAAGTCGCTACGACTCGCTGTAAGGCGACATCAATCAGGCTTCAAACAAGCCACTCCGCTGTGCTGGACAAGCACTCACCCAGGGTGAGTGAAATGGAAGCAAACTACATTGTTTTAAATTCTGATCAAACACAGAGAACATAAAACTTACCATTTTAACCATTTTTAGGTGCAACAAGCAATTCACTATATTGTGCAATACTCACCATTATCCAGCACGTTCTTTTAAAGGTATAGAATCTGTGCTATGGGTCACAGGCTTGTAGGATTCCAACGTCTGAGCAAGGACGCAAGGACACACACACACACACGCACGCACACACGGCTACTTGAAAAAGTTCAGGGACAGGAAATGGAATGCTCACAGAGGGTAGGGGAGATGAAACTGTCACTCAACCCTAGCAACATCCGAGCCCAAACCTGTGTCCCTTCCACCACACCAGGATGCCTGAAGGCTCGAGCAGGCGCTAAATTCTCTAGGCTTACTTCAACACTCAATACACACCCTGGTTAAAGTATTTCCCTCCCTATATTATAATCACACATAAGGACACTTCAAAGAGTCCACAGAAAATGGAATTAAAGGTTAAGTTTATTTTGGGTGCTGGCATTGCAGCACAGAAAGTTAAGTCATCGCCTGCAATGCCAGAATCCCACACCAGAACACCAGTTTGAGTCTCAGCTGCTCCACTTCCAATCCAGCTCCCTGTTAATGTGACTGGGAAAGCAGTGGAAGATGGCCCACGTACATGCCTGCTACCCACATGGGAGACCCAGGTAGAGTTGCAGGCTCCAGGCTTTGGCCTGGACCAGTCTCAGCCACTGGAGCCATTTAGAACCAGCATATAGAACATTCTCTTTCTCTGTCTCTCCTCTCTCTCTCTCTCTAACTCTGCCTTTCAAATAAATAAATTGTTTATTTTTTTTAAAGGTAGGGGCAGGTGGGCATTGTGGCATAGTGGGTAAGGCCTCCACCTGTGATGCCAGCATGCAAATGAATGTTGGTTCAAGTCCCGGCTACTCTACTTCTGATCCTGCTCCTTGCTAATGGCCTAGGAAAAGCAGCAGCAGATGGCCCAAGTCTTTGGGCCCCTGTTACCCATGTGAAAGACCTGGATGAAACTCCTTGTTCCTGGCTTCAGCCTGGCCCAGCCCTGGCCATTGTAGCCATTTAGGAAGTGAACCAGTAGATGGAAAATCTCTCTCTCTCTCTCTATCTCTCCCTCTTTCTCTGAAACTCCTACTTTCAAAATAAATAAGTAAATAAATAAATAAATTTTTTTAAAAAAAAAAGTCCTTTTAGTACAAAGTTTGAAATTCATCAACAGTTTTTACATAACACATTTTCCATGAACTTTTTGAAGGGCCCTCCATAAAATGAGCTCCCCCAGGTTCGGATCTGAGCTCTGTCACTTCCTAACCTTGAGCCAGTCAGTGGATCTCCGTGAGTTTCATTTTTCATCTGTTAAACGAAAATAAGTGCAGGGTGGCTGGCACTGTGGCACAGCAGGTTAAATCCCTGGCCTGAAGCGCCGGCATCCCATATGGGTGCTGGTTTGCGACCCGGCTGCTCCTCTTTCGGATCCAGCTCTCTGTTATGGCCTGGGATAGCAATAGAAGATGGCCCAAGTCCTTGGGCCCCTGCACACGCGTGGGAGACCTGGAAAAAGCTCCTGGCTCCTGGCTCCGGATTGGTGCAGCTCCAGCCATTGCAGCCAATTGGGGAGTGAACCAGTGGATGGAAGACCTCTCTCTCTGTCTCGACCTCTCTCTCTGTCTCGACCTCTCTCTGTAACTCTGTCTTTCACATAAATAAATAAAAATCTTTAAAAAAAAAAATAGAAAAAAAAAGAAAAGAAGTGCAGGAATGCTCTCACAGGGTGGCGGGAAGCATGCAATGGAAAGCAGTGGGTGAAAATGACAGCTGACAGAGTACGCGGAGGGCACACACAGACAAGCAACACGACTCCAGCCTCGTGCCCAAGCTCAGCTTCAAGCGCCACCAGAAGCCAGGCATCAGAAACAGCGTGAGCCGCCACTGCTGCTGGTAGCGGCAGAGGCCCTGGGGCAGCACCACTCCTCTGGTCTTGCAGTCCTCACAGGGTCCTAACCCCCAGCTGCCACTCTGCAGCTTTAAGATCTGCCCTAAAATACACTGGCTGGGAAATGAGAATGAAACCTGCATCAAGGCCCTCCTTAGGGGCCATCCTTCAGGATGGAGCCCTCAGGGGGCCTTGGAAATGGGAGACGGAAGAACTACACCCACACACACTCTCCCCCTCTTCCCTGCCTCCCGGGGAGAACCATTAGCTTCAGTATTCCCAGACACAAAGCAGGAGTCTGTGCTTGGAAAGGGGGGAAAAATGACTGCTCCCTTTACAGCCACGTGAGTGCCCTCTTCTTACCTGCTTCACCGCATCCAGCAGCCGCTCCAGGAGAAACTGTCTTTTGTCATTGTTCTGTGATGCTAAAATGCAATGAGACTGAATTAGTTCCGTCTGATGTTAGCTTTCTGGTAAGACTATTTTCCAGACGTTATAGTGCATGGCTGGTCCCAGTCAGGATCACTTCTTTGATACTGATCCCCAGAAAGTCAACAGCAAGAGTAGGTATTAGTAATGCACATCACAACAAAGGGTGACCATTTGCCGGTTGCTGCATCACAGGGAAACAGCTAAAGAAACTCTGAAGAATGTGTCCAGACAGCCCAGGGGTTTCTCAGCCTTAACACTGTAGGATGGTTAGCAGATTCCTGGTCCCAATCCACCAGATGCCACTAGCACACACATAGCCAAGATGTAACAAAAATGTCTCCAGGGGGCCGGCGCTGTGGCGAAGTAGGTTAATCCTCTGCCTGGGGCGCCGGCATCCCATATGGGTGCCAGTTCTAGTCCCGGCTGCTCCTCTTCCAATCCAGCTTTCTGCTGTGGCCTGGGAAAGCAGTAGAAAATGGCCCAAGAGCCTGAGCCCCTGCACCCACGTGGGAGACTGGAAAAAAACACCTGGCTCCTGGCTTCGGATCAGCGCAGCTCTGGCCGTTGCAGCCATTTGGGGAGTGAGCCAACGGAAGGAAGACCTTTCTCTCTGCCTCTCCCTCTCACTGTCACTCTACCTCTCAAATAAATAAATAAAATCTTAAAAAAAAAAAAATGTCTCCAGATACCACCAAATATCCCCTAGGGAGAAAAATGGTCCAGAGGTGCCCACCAAGTTTTCTAGTCTGGCACACACCACTTGCTACATGAGCTCACCAACAACTCCAATATACCTTTCCCTGGCCACCTTCATCACCACACACTGAAAAACCTACTCACCCCATTCTCTGCCTTAGCTAATCCTCCACCTTGTGGTGCCAGACACCGGGTTCTAGTCCTGGTCGGGGCGCTGGATTCTGTCCCGGTTGCCCCTCTTCCAGGCCAGCTCTCTGCTGTGGCCCGGGAGTGCAGTGGAGGATGGCCCAAGTGCTTGGGCCCTGCACCCCATGGGAGACCAGGAGAAGTACCTGGCTCCTGCCATCAGATCAGCGCGGTGTGCCGGCCGCAGCACACCGGCCGCAGCGGCCATTGGAGGGTGAACCAACGGCAAAGGAAGACCTTTCTCTCTGTCTCTCTTTCTCACTGTCCGCTCTGCCTGTCCAAAATAAATAAATTAATTAATTAATTAAAAAAAAAAAAAAAGAAGTCTTAAGAAGACCAAGGAGGGGACCAGGGCTGTGGCGCAGCAGGTTAAAGCCCCTGCCTGCAGCAATGGCATCCCAAACAGGCGCCAGTTCAAGTCTCGGCTGCTCCACTTCCTATCCAGCTCTCAGCTAAAGCACCTGGGAAAGCAGCAGAGGATGCCCCAAAGTCCTTGGGCCCCTGCACCCATGAGAGAAGACTCAGAAGGAGCTCCTGGCTTTGGATCAGCTCTGCTCCAGCCATTGTGGCTATTTGGGGAGTAAACCACTGGATGGAAGACCTCTCTCTCTCTCTCTCTCTCTCTCTCCCTCTCTCTGTAACTCTGTCTTTCAAATAAATCTTTAAAAAAAAGAAGAAGAAGAAGGCCAAGGAGAAGTAAGCAGAAGTACACTGGGAGGCATCTGGGAAAGTTTTGCCTCTTTGATAAAAACAGAAGACATGAAGGGGGACCATCCCTTCCTCCATCCTTTGTACAGTAGTCACAGTGTGGTGGGTCCGGCCAGAGCAGCATCCTGCCACGGTGAAGCCGTGTGCCTGAGGGAAAGGCCAAGACAGGCACAGGGAGGGCAGCCCTGAAATCACAGTCACTAAACCAATACTAGAAACAGCCTAACTGCCACAAAACAAACCACCCATTGCACAAACCACTGTGGGCTGTCACCTGCAACCAGAAGCATTCCTAACTGACATAGGACATGCAAAGAACTGTGGCAAAGGCACGTCGCAGCGCCAGGCGCACACTCGCCAGAGCTACGACTGGGGCTCCAAAAGAGGCCCAGAGACTCCAGCAAACGGACGCGGCTGTGAATGGTGACATACCAGGCACGGGGCACAGTCATTTCAAAGACACTCACATTCAAAAGGTACAAGAGTAGAAGCTCAGGGTGGACAAAGTGGCGCAACAGGTTAAACTACCACTTGGAACACCTGCATCCCAAATCACAGTGCCAGTTTAAGTCCTACCTCTGCTTCTTTAAAAAAAAAGAAAAAAGATGGCTGGTGCCGCAGCTTACTTGGCTAATCATCCGCCTGTGGCGCCGGCACACCGGGTTCTAGTCCCAGTTGGGGCACCAGATTCTGTCCCGGTTGCCCCTCTTCCAGTCCAGCTCTCTTCTGTGGCCCGGGAAGGCAGTGGAGGATGGCCCAAGTGCTTGGGCCCTGCACCTGCATGGGAGACCAGGAAGAAGCACCTGGCTCCTGGCTTTGGATCGGCGCAGCGCACCAGCCATAGCGGCCATTGGGGGGTAAACCAACGGAAGGAAGACCTTTCTCTCTGTCTCTCTCTCTCTCTCTCACTGTCTAACTCTGCCTGTCAAAAAAAAAAAAGATTTATTATTTATTATTTATTTGAAAAGCAGAGTTAGAGAGAGAGACAGAGACAGAGACAGAGAGACAGAGATCTTCCGTCTGCTGGTTGACTCCCCATATGACAGCAAAGGGCAGTGCTGGGCCAGGCAGAAGCCAGGAGTCAGAAACTCCATTCAGTCTCTCCTGTGGGTATAGGGGCCCAAGTATTCAGGCTGTCCTCCGCAGCTTTCCCAGGTGCATTAGCAGGGAGCTGTATCAGAAGCAAAGCTCCTGGGACATGAACCAGCGCTTATATGGGATGCTGGCACTGTAGGTGGCAGTCCAACCCCCTGGGCCACAACACAGCCCCTACCACCTCCACTTCTGATCCAGCTTCCTACCAATGTGTCCTAGGGGGCAGCAGATAATGACTCAAGTGCTGGGCCCCTGTCATCCACGTAGGAGATCAACATAAAGTTCCAGGCTCCTAACGTCAGCATGGCCCAGCCCTGGCTGTGGCAGACATTTGGGGAGCAAACAAGCAGCTGGGAGACCTGACCGCTCCCTCCCTCTTTCTCTGCCTCTTCCTCTCCCTTTCCCCTCAGCAGCTCCGTGCGAGCGGCACCAGGGAGGGGCCACAGGCATTCACTGTCGGGGAGATGAGTTCTGAGTCCTGCATGTCCTCCACAGCACGCCTGAGCCAGGGGACTGACAACCGCCGCTGCGTGTCGGGCATCACCTGCACACCAGGTGCTAGGCTGAGCCTTAACCTCCTCACCCACTCCACAGGCCAACAACACCCCACGCCAGGTGTTGGGAAACTCAACTCGCAGTCATCGAGAATTCTGAGCTCTGATCCACACATTACTTAACTTGTACCGCGTGCCAGGCAGTGTTCTGAGTGCTGGGGACACGGGGGTGAAGTGGCATAAAAGAGCCGACTCCTCATGGAGCTAAAATTCTAACAGGAAGAAACAAGTAATTTGTAAGAAAGCTAACAAATGAGATGATGTTAGAGGGTCACACTAGGAAGAAAAACAAAATAGCGGATGCGGGCGGGCGGGGGGCAAGAGGTCTGCCCTAACCAGGCCAGCCACCAGGGCCTCTGCATGGGGGACATCTGAGCAGCGATGCAAGACAGGGAAGGCCAGCCTCCCAGCAGAGCAGGCAGCTGGAGACAGGCCCAGAGGCCTCAAGCTTGGCTTCTGGTTTTCAGTGACTGGAAAGAGGTCTGCTGTCACTTTTGTAGAAAGCAACAAGAGAGAAGGGCCAGCTCTGTGGTGCAGCAGGTTAACGCCCTGGCCTGAAGCACTAGCATCCCATAAGGGCGCCAGTTCTAGTCCTGGCTGCTCCTCTTCTGATCCAGCTCTCTGTTATGGCCTGGGAAAGCAGGAGAAGATGGCCCAAGACCTTGGGCCCCTGCACTCATGTGGGAGACCTGGAAGAAGCTCCTGGTTCCTGGCTTCGGATCAGTGCAGCTCTGGCCATTGAAGCCAATTGGAGAGTGAACCGTTGGATGGAAGACCTCTCTCTCTCTCTGCCTCTCCTCTCTCTGTATAACTCTGATTTTCAAATACATAAATAAATCTTTAAAAAAAAAAAAAAAAGAAAGAAAGAAAGCATGCAAGCAACAAGAGGGGAAAGATAAGACAGGCAGATGTGGGCCAGTCACACAGGGTCTTGTGGGCCACGATAAAAGAGTTAGCTCTGTCCTAATCTGTGCTTTGCTGTGTTTTCTAGTTTATTTATTTTGAAAGAGCTATAGACAGACAGACAGACAGAGATCTTCTTTCAGCTGGTTCACCCCCCAGGTGGTGGCGACAGCCAGCACTGGGCCAGGCCAGAGCCAGGAGCCCAGAGCTTTTATCTAGGTCTCCCAAATGGGTGTCAGGGGCCCAACTTCTTGGGCTACCTTCTTTTGCCTTCCTAGGTGCACTAGCAGGAAGCTGGATGGGAACCGGAGCAGCCAGGACATGAACTGGAGCCCATGTGCAATCGGCACATGGTGGTGGCTTGACCCATTAGGCCTAATTTGAACTTGTCCTGACGTGAGACCATGTCCCCAGAGAGCCCATTAATGTTATGGCCACCATATCAAGCCTCCTGCCCTACTCCAGGCCTAGCAGTAACACCAGCACACAGATACTTCAGGACACGCAGCAGAACAACTAGCTCCACAAACGCTGCCCTTATTGCTTTTTTTTTTTTTTTTTTTAGAGAGATTTATTTACTTATTTGAAAGGCAGAG